ATACGAATTTGTTTGATATACCAATTGATTATTGAAAAACAATATGTAGTCTTCCTCAAATATACAAGTATTGATTCATCTGATATTTTCAGCATACATTCATTTTATAGTTAGCATGCATGTGGAAATATCGTCGCCTTTTTCGATGCTTTAGCTAATAAGAATCAAAAGAGTGAATTCGCATACTTTCCGCTATGGCACTGGTGCTGATATGATAAACTTAATTTTCACAAAGATATCGATACAGGGTGTCTCATAAGTTGTGGCAGATTTTTTTAAATCTAATTTTTGATGATAATGAATACAAATCAAACTCAAACTTACACGTATCATACAACTTAACATGTACTTTTATTTCATATATTTTATTTGAATTTAATCATTGGATATACAAAAAAATAAAGAAATTGGTACATGTGCAAAATAAGCACACCATCAATGTGTTACAATATATATACCCCGACAAAAGTTTCACTCTGTATTTCTCATATATTGTCACTATAAAAATAAGTTATTTTGAAACTAATTACATATTCTGAAAGCTCGCGGAGTTTTCTATCATTCTGTAGAATTAGGTTTTAGTTTTGACCTTTTCATTACCAAAATAAATTGAAGACAACGAAGGCACCCTCATGTCCAGATTCCCAGACTTGATCTTTCCTTCGTCATCAAAACTAGTTTTAAAAATTTTTCATCCGTATAGAATGATCTGTATGAAAAAGTAACTATAGATTCTGATAGAGCTTAAAATTCTCTATCACCCTGTCTATTTACTTATTTTCTTGCGTTTATAGATTGAAATAAAATTGAATACAATGAATATACTCCGAATCGACTAGCCCAAAAAATTTGCATTTTTTTTTCGCTACTTAAATTTAAGACACTGTATTAATACATAATATCATAGAGCATTTCAAGTGCTATCAGAATGTGTGATTTCTTTTGTAAAAACTTACTCCCATAGGAATAGTAATTGGAGAAAAAAACTAACAAAGTAGCGAAAAAATGCAGATTTTTGATATTTGTCAATGGAGGGTATGTTCATTGAATTTGTTTATTTTCTTGTATATTCAATGATCTAATCCAAATAAAATATATGAAATAAAAGTACATGCTAAGCCGTGTCATATGTATAAGTTTGAGTTTAATTTGTATTCATTATCATCAAAAATTAGATTTAAAAAAATCTGCCACAACTTATGAGACACCCTGTATATTAAACGCATATTCCACCACCCAAAATTCAATGTATTATTTTACTTTATTACGTCATTCGTATATACCTTCAAACTCTAGAATCTTAATCAGTACTGAGTACCATACTACTGATATAAATTTGAACCAGATCAGAGTATTTTTAGTCAAGATATCATATATATTAGTACAGCAGTACAGCAAAACTAGTAACAGTAATAATTGTATATATCTGCTCAGGAGGCCTAGACAACCGAACCCTTGTAGAGTGTTTAATAACTCACTGAGGTCTATCGTTTGGGCATGTACCCGATTCAAAAGCGAGGGGACAGTTGGGGACCTTCCCTCGTAAGTTCCGCCTATCCCGCATCCCGCGATCTTTTGTCCCGTGTCCCGTCCTGTCTCGCCCTACTTCTATTTTTCTTCTCCCATCTCGTCCCGTCCCGGGACGGGACAAGATTTGTCCTGTGTCCTGCCGGTCTCTGGTTTCTATGTCAAATGAAGCGTAATTGTACTAAATTTAGGTATAAAATTAATAAAAGAAATTAGCTTTCTTTACTAACACGTATAATACAAATTATATAAGGGCGCCATCTTAAAGGATTAATAGTGCGTTTAATGCATTATATGGACATTAATACAGAAACCAATCAACGTATTAGACTACTTCGGTCTTCTGCTTCTGCTTCGGCCGTTTATCATTACCTCAGAAAACGCAATCGAAAGCTAGAATGACGCAATAAAGAAAAGATGATCATGATGTCATGATGATCGATTGAACATACATGCATAACAGGAAAAAAAAAATATATATATATATGATGCGCTGGACATAAGTTAGTGTCATAATGCGACATATGTTGAGACTAACAGCGCTCAGAACCACACTCAATTCGTCAAATAAATTGATCCGTGTAAATAAATCAAGAGTCAGATATTTTAAACAAGGTTTCGCTATATGTTTTGGAAAGTATATTTTCACTTTCAAAATAGTTCACTGATGATCATTGTAGATTGTTTTGAGCAAGCATTTTACAATAAGCTCCACGTCGTTGGGCCAATTCTGCATGAGTACCACTTTCTACTATATGTCCTCTGTGCAATGCGCAAATCAAATCACATGAACGAATAGTTGAAAGACGATGAGCGACAATCAGTGATGTTCGGCTAGAATCTTCTATTTGAGCTTGATCAAGAGCTTCTTGTACAATCTAGAGTGGATAAGTGAAGATGACACTGGTTGTTAAACAGAAAAACAAAAGCGAGCATACGTGTTCATTATATGAATCCATGGCACTTGTCGGCTCATCTAGAAGCAAAACTTTAGGTCGGCGAACAAGAACTCGAGCAATAGCAATACGTTGCTTTTCACCACCCGAAAGGAAACTACCTTTCAATCCCACTTTTGTTTCATAACCCTAAAAGAAGATCACACAATAATAATAGATCCATCGTATAGTTTTGTATCATTTAACCTGAGGTAATTGGTCAATAAATTGATGAATATTAGCTCTTCGTGCTGCATTGATAATGTCTTCCATTGACACATTGTCTAAGCCATATGCTATATTCTCAGCTATTGTTAAATCGAACAAAATTGGTTCTTGACTGACAAGACCAAATTGAGAACGAATCCACTGAAGATTTAGTTGTCGAATATCAATGTCATCAATAAGCTAAATTGAGTGAAGACATTTTTATATGATCACTATAATTATATACAGAAGGAATACTAACTAACTGCCCACTTGTAACATCATGGAATCTCTCTAGAAGTTGAATAACTGTTGATTTTCCACATCCAGATGCACCTGCAGAGGCCACATTAAGTAGATAAAACTTAAAAGAAACATTTTATTCAAACATACCGACAAGGGCCAAACGTTGTTCTTATCAGTGAATAAAAGTTTTCTAAAATTGGTTAGATCAAAATTGATATCACTTACTTGGTTTGATATTTAGTTGAAATTTGTTAAGAATTATAGATGTTGGCCGAATCGGATAGATAAATTTCACTTGATCAAATTTTATATCCCCACGAAAATCAACCTACACAAATCGTAGTATATCGATGGCATGTGCATAATTACAATAAACAATAGTTATTATGTGTGTTCTCTTACCAATTCTTGTCCTTTTGTAGACCCATTGTCGATAATCGGATTTCGATCAAATAAATCAAAAAATGTTTCAGCAGCTGAGACTGATGCAGCGAGACGCCTAGAACTACAGTGAAAGTAGTGAAAAAGAAATCAAAGCAGAAATAGAGAGTATTTACATGATTCCGATGAGTTTCAGTGCTTGTAATGAAAAAATAGCAAAACCAAAGACCCTAATGAATTAAAAGATTATAAAGCGTTATTTCTAAATTATCAATGTGCAATTTCAATGACATTATAATACGGTTCGATGGAAGTTCGTTCTTCTCAACAAGGATGAGAGCATGCCAATACAAAAATGCCATAGTATATGCATCGAGTGTGAAGAATATACCGAATGCAACTGAATGCACTATCATGTGTTTCCAAGATAATCTATGATAAAACAAAAGTGGTCACTACTTCATACATCTATCAAATTGTATTCACTAACATAAATGCTTGATGAATAAGTTCGGAATATTGTCGCAAAACTTCCTTTTCTATTGACAGCTGTTTGATAGTACGCATATTGTGAATAACTTGGACAGCAAGCTGAAAAAGTAAAATACAGAATGGACATACTGTAAATGATTTATCAAGCACTTCATTGCAAATTTATTCTTTCAACGAAAAACACGATTCTAAGGTAAAATATTAACTCACTGAACTTGCTCGTCCAAAAATTTGACCAGACTTTTTATGCTGCGATATATTTAAGGAAACATCTAGGTAAATGATTGAGAATAGAAGAAAAATAGGACCAAAAACGATCAGTATCAATGGCCAACTTATCAAACATCCAAATACAATTCCAAAAAATGATAACGCGATTGCTTCACAGATAACTCCTAGCCGTGAACCAGATAGATCTTGGATAGCCAATGCGTCAGAAGACAGACGAGTGCTAATCGAACCAGAACTATTTTCAGGTCGATCGAAATAAGCAACTTCTTGACGAAGTAGAAATGCAAAAGCTTTCGACCGAATATGGTGCGTCAATTTCGATCCAGCTATGGCAAAAGCTATATGCTACAGAAGAAAATGAATATATCATTGATTAAATTCTTCAGCAGCTTTTTTTTACCTGAAACAAACGAAGAATCAATAAAACAACGCCCAGAAGCAAAAAATAAAGACTGGTAATCAATACTTGATGACGTCGTTCAGATTTTGAACAATATTTGAATGCCTAAACAAAAAAAATCGAAATAAAACGACATCTATTGTCAATCTTCTTGCACGATGTTTATATGGATATATTACTTACGTCGACGACCTTGGCAAGTAGGAATGCAAATAATGACTGAGCACCGCCAACTAGTACACATGCTGTACATCCAATCAAGATGGTGATCCACTCAGAACTATTCATTGATAAGAGTCTTAAAAAAATAGATTTTTGTCGGAGTGGCTTCCAAGTTTGCTTAAAGACAGATTATCAATAATGGTTTTTATAAATGATTGCAATAGTATGTATACAAACTTTGTTGACATCAGCATTTTCATTATCACTATGTAAACTAGAGCGTTCAACTGTTATAAAGAAAAGACGAAGAAAAGTGAAGAGTATTACTAATAAAATATTAAAATACATATTGATTTTTCGTTCGCTTCTTTCGCTTCTGACATGCTCATTATACCACTTTTATCATCATTGATAGTTTCCATTTGTTGACGGTTGAACATTACTTGATATTTTCCTCCTTCTTTTTTCATTAACGTTTCGTGTGTACCTTGTTCAATCACAGTTCCATTATCTAATACATATATTTGATGAGCATTTTGAATTGTAGACAAACGATGTGCAATAATTATAGTTGTACGACCTATACACAATGATTTATCAATACGATCAGCAGAAAGAAAAACAATTATTACCTTTGCATACTCGATCGAGCGCCTCTTGAACGAGTTTTTCGCTAATATTATCAAGCGCACTTGTTGCTTCATCCAGTAAAAGAATAGTAGGCTGCCTGACAAGAGCACGAGCTAATGCAATACGTTGTTTTTCACCGCCACTCAATTGTATACCACGTTCACCAACGATTGTCTGATATTTCTAAACGAAAAAGAACCGATGATTCATATGTATAGATAAATACGAATATCTTTCACAAACATTTGGTAATTGCATGATAAAATCATGTGCATTTGCATCTTGTGCCGCCTGTTCAATTTCTTTTTGTGTTGCGTTTACTTTACCAAAGCGAATATTTTCATAAATACTCATATCAAACAAAACCTATCAAAATGGTAAGAGTAAATAGAAAGCTAGAAGAGAAAAACGAAAACAAAGTATACAGGTTCTTGACTAGCAACACCAATACTCTGTCGAAGTTGGTTGACGTTGAAACCTGTTATTGGTCGACCACCAATCATAATTCGACCTGATGAAGGCTCATAGTAACGAATTAACAGTGATATACATGTACTTTTTCCTATAAATAAAATTTGAATATAAATGAAATCATTTCAACATCGTTGTTTTTCGAAAAAATCTTACCACAACCACTTGCACCTACAAGAGCAGTTGTTTTTCCAACACGAGCCATCAGAGAGAGACTACACAGAGCTGGCACATCTTTTCGAGATGGATAAACAAAGTTGACATTGTCAAATTCAATATCACCATTGATATTATCGATTGATTCTTTATTATCCCATACAGATGTTTCATTAATGGTAGTATCGTTTTCCTATAACATGTACACATATAGAGCACGTTGTTATCTATATAAGCTCTTGATTTAGTCGAAACTACCTCTTCAATAAGACGAAACACAGATGCTGCAGCACCTCGAGCTGCTGAAAGAGATTGAAAGCAAAGACCAGTAGAAGCGTAGAAGTTGAAACATCTTGCAACGCTGCAGACGACCTGTATCAAGACAGTGGTCGGATATTCTCTTTATTGAATGGCTATATGAATTACTTACGATAAGAATATCACTAATATTCGAAAAAGGATGACATTTTTCTGGCATAAGAAGAGAACCAGAGATAAAACCAATTGAATAAGTTAGGTAGACTTGAAGAATTAGCCATCCAGTATAAACACCATAAATGAAACCTTGGCGTATACTACTCCAACAAGTTGGAATCAATTCTTTTTCATATCTAAAAACGATAAAAGTAATAAAATATCTTAGCATGTCATGTGAATAAACTATTTCTATATGTTCCTCTACCGTTTTTGTTCATATTTGCTACCATTGAAAGAAAGAACAGTTCGAAAAGAGCTAAACACTTCTTGAACGATTTGAGCTGCTTTCGAGTATGTATTCAACTCATTCATTGTTTCATTAGCTATTGTCTGTGATAATTCATACAGATGTAATGTATTGAAAAATATCTCATACCTTAGAAAAGTAAAGCGAGCTGCCAATGACCAAAAACAATAAAGGTATCATGATGAAAGTTAATTTCCAGTTGACAATGAAACATGCTATTAAACAACTAATGGTATTGAAAAATGCTATTAAAAGCGTAAAAAATTCGTGACCAATGCCTTTCTCAATCTTTCCAATGTTACTAGACAAGAATGGAATCAGATCAAGTCATTTGATATAAAATATTACAACGGCTTACTCAAACAGCTTTGAATTCAGTTGACCAATCGGTTTGGTATCCATATAAGAAATGTTCTAAAAATGAAAAAAAGAGAAATAATTAGAGATGAACAAAGTCGACTGACAGTCGCTTCAACTCTATTCATATTTTTCCAATGAAAATTCAAAACTACTTTAGATTGTTTGACAATCCTATCGTAACTCTGACTGTAAAAAAAAGGCATGCTCAGTCTGATTTAACTTTAAAAATCTTAATTATATTGCATCAATTTCCGCTATTGATGTTTTCTTTTCAGAATTTTTTTATTCTTTCACGAGCAATTGCTACATCAACACAAACTTTATCGTGTTTGATAACAGTCTGTGAACTCCTACTCCGATCTCACTACAACCATCACATACCAAAGACTACTATAACACTGATATGATAAGCAAATCTTTCCAGATGTCATTTTTTTTCGTTTTCAATGATTCTTTATATGCAAATACTAGACAGTATTCTAATGGAAAATCTACAATGATTTCTGTTTTTATTGACAGACAGTAGAACTGTCGCATTTGTAAAATGTCTATTTAGTAGGGGCTTTCAAAGATTCCAAGGTCTTCTGAAAATTTCTGCTATCGAATTTCTCCTTGAAACTATCACTATTTGAAGGTTTCTTATAGAGTTGATTGTATGAAGAGTTTCTATTGTGAAGTGCAAAACCTGGGAATCCAAAAACTTTTCATACAACCTACTTTAAATGAAGCTTATAAATGGAGATAGTTTTCGGACCAAGTTTACAAGACATGTTTTTTACGACAATCACAGTTCTTTCTTTATAGATCTCTAAGCAATATATATTTAAAAAACCCAACAATTGCTCCAAGTCTCAAAACAGAATGAAATCTTTTTTGGAATTATTACTAAAGTATTATCTATTATCTATTGACAACAAAAATCATTCAAGCCGGTAGACAATATTGAGAAAAGTTCCCATGTTAGTTGATTCAATTCTATTCCAACTTCCATAGATAAAAGTGCACAATCCGAATTGAAGTGACACAACTTGCAGAGGATCAAAGCTGTCTCAATAAACATCAACTAGTGAATAAAAATGCAATATAAATAAATACAGCTGTTTGCCAATACTTCTCTGTAGGGGTGAGAAAGTTATTGTTATTTTTTTGTTATTAATAACAATAACATTAACTTTTTTATTTAGAAAAATCAATGAAACAAGCCTAAGCATAAAATAACAATAACAAAAATGTTATTGTTCCATTTCTCAAAATGTTTACAGTAAGTTCTTATATCAAATGCTAGGAAGAGATACTATATGAATAAAGTAATCCATTAATGTTGGTGAAAACTATGCTTAGACTTGTTTCATTGATTTTTCTAAATAAAAAAGTTAATGTTATTGTTATTAATAACAAAAAAATAACAATAACTTTCTCACCCCTACTTCTCTGAAATAGTTTTACAATTATTCTATCTGAACTTCAGTTTTCTAGGAATACACACTAAATTTAAATGTGTCGCAGTTATGTGTCGTGAATTATTGTGTCGTGCACTCCAGCACAAAAATGTGTCGTGCTTAGAATGTGTCGTATATGAATTTGTCGCGTTCTGTCTGCCGACTATTCGTTCACCATTTTATTATGCATACATAGCGATATATAAACAACGTGGTTGAACATACGAAAGATAAACTTTCAAAATATTCTTTTTTTCTAAATTATTTCTCGATCATTTTTTTTATCGAGAAAATGCTAATCTCGATCCATGATCGAGAGAGGACTATCCTGAAGCGGTCTGCTGCAAATCGGACCAACTCGAGATCGGACGGGTCTCACGATCTGACCTGCTTGAGTTTTCAGAATAGAAATAATTGAATGGAATTAAATTGAAAAAAAAATCGAATTATGCTTTTCCAAAAGAACCAATAGAAAATGTGTCGCATGTGTCGCACAAAATGTGTCGTGGTCTTGCTGGAGAAAATGTGTCGCAGTGAGCTCCTCGTGTCGCACTTTAATGTGTCGTACAATGTGTCGCAAATCACGACACATGCGACACATTTTAACTTAGTGTGCATTGCTAGTTTTACCATTAGTAACAGTGTAATAATAATGAAGATTGGTGTCTTCATAAATGTGAGGTTACTATCTGTTGAAGTGAAAAATTCTTCGCAAGAAAATAAATGATCCGTGTTTCTTTCTAAAATTTCAAAACGGTTATATTTGTATTAGCGTCTAAGAACATATGCAGTATGTCATTGACAACTACGTTGAGCATATATTGTTCTACTTGTTCTGAATATTTACTTGTAGATATAGAAGTTCTAGCAATACGCGCATCTGTATGTAAGCATATAAAGTTTATCTAGATACTGAAGTATATTTTGTAAGTTGAATAAAATCGATAATGTGAGGATGATGAAGTGTTTTTAAAAATAAAAAGAGCAGCAAATGCTATTAAGTTTTAGTAACATTACGCAGACTAGGATTCGCATTTCTGAATATTCTTTCATATATAAAAAAGCATTTGACATACACGTTGAGCAAGTGATCGAAAGAGAGAAACACTTATACGATTCATCTGTGGTTTTACGCTCACGATCCAAATGAAATCTGAAATTGCGGCAGTCAGAAATTCGACGGCACCAGTAACTAATTATATAAAGAGAAAAAAAGACCATATTCATTATGAATTATAATAAAACTGTTACGTTCATTTCACTTACTGAATAACCAGTGAACTATGTACATCACTTTTTCTCGAATTGAAGGGATTGATGTAGCTAAGGTCGATAACAAAATTACATCACTATTGTGGTGTAGTCTAAGATGACAAAATGCGATAGGACAAGGAAAGAAATATATTTTAATTAATGAAGATTTTTAGGAAACTACTTTTGCGATGAAGCATTATTGAATACATTGGTCTGGATGCCTTGACAATATGTACTATTGTTCTTAATTTGAATTATTGAATTTGGATGTTGATAACAACAGTAATTACCATACGCTTTACTAGCAAATAATTCTGTAATTTGACCGAATAAAACTAGGTTAGTGATATAGCAAGCTGTGTGCAACAATCTTAAACATATAGCGGTGAACATTAGAATAATATCAATCCGACTTGCAAACGAAAACTACAATAAAATTGAATGCATAAATCGATTTTTATTAAGCCTTAATTCACTTACTAAACGTAAAACACCAACTGGTTTACCGTTGTCACTTTTTTTTGTATCATTATTCAATTCTATGTATTCATTGTTAGTCTTTTTGCTATTAGAACATCGGCACCAATTAAAAAAACTACAACCAGTGATGAATTCATTGTCTTTTCCTCGAAGTTTGTTATTTATTAGATCATACCTATTGTTTAAAAGCTGTTTCTTGTTTCCATGATCATCATCACCAAAAGACAATTCACCGGTTGTATTTAACAGGGGTTGTCTATCACTCATTTGATATCTATTTCAAGTATTCTGTGATGAAAAATATTCAGCACTAATAAATCTATAGAATGATGTAAAAAAATTATTTATAATAATTGCATGATTCTCTGAACTTTGGTCGAAAGTAAAAATGTCGAAAGGTAAAAATGTCGAAAAATAAAAATGTCGAAAACCTAAAAAGGTATCAATATCGAAGAGCAGGGATGTCAAACTTAACAGTTCATGAAAGTAAGAATCTCTCTCACTCACCATCACTCTACATCCTCACCATCACCCTCATTTTTATTTTTCGACATTTTTACCTTTCGACATTTTTACCTTTCGACATTTTTACTTTCGGCCAAAGTTCAGATTACCAATTGCGCATACCTATTACTTTTCTTATTTTGTTTCTTAGCCTTCTGAGGACGGTACGACATATTTGTCCCACCTATCTCTCAGTAGAGAAAAAAAGGTTTTGTTTACGTAAAATTATCAGGTCTACAAGAAGATATAGGCTATAAGTGACTCCGTCTGTTATCCGATACTTGTCTTCTCCTTCGTTCTTTCTTTCATGTAGATCATTTCAAATTTTCTCTGTTCTGTCTTCTACTGTTCAGTGGCGCCATGATTTCTCTCCTTTTTTCTGAACCTTTTCTTTCGAGAATGCTTTCACTTACTATTGTGCTTTTATATATACTTACATACTTCTATTGTCATTGATGGACTTGAATTATTCTTCATTTTGACAATAAATTGCATTTACCGGTAAAACGAACTCGAAGAAGATATTCTCAGTGTAGCAGAAAAGAAATTGAAGTTAGATCCGACATTAAATACATGACCTGTGGGTGTGGGTATTGATTAGCAGGAAATCTAAGCTGACATAACACCCACACCAATACTCACACTCACGTCCACATTCACACACTCATACCCACACCAACACCCTATTATCAAAAACAATTCTGATTCATAAAAAAAATCATCAATTATATCTTGTATCTTGTTGAGGAAATTTAGCTCCTGAAAACTCGAGAAAGCTGATTTTTATGAAAACTTTTTAATCCGCAGAAAATGTCTGAAAAAATTTTTCGCTTAATAAAGTGATCCTCTCATCGAATAGCATCTACTCTGAAAGCTTCATATTATTAGTATTTAAAATGGATGAATTTCTGAAATCATGTTTCCACTGCGAAACTCAAAATTGTCGCTATGTTTCGACCCTTTCGCAAAGTTTGCAAAAATTTTTAAATCTATGGTTACGCTTATATTTACAACTCCTGTAACGCTTGAAGGTTTCATTCAATAGATATGAAGTCGATATAATAGTTGTATACTTTTGATAGAATTGCTCTTCTACTCCAGAACCATTAGCTTCATTACAAAAAGATGGAAATGTAGTATACTGTTTTTATGTAATAAAGATGGAGTCCGTACGGATCCCAGACTGTCAATAAGTGGCGGTTCAAAAGTTGGGCATGGCAGGCATCAAGGATAAAGGAAGATTTCTTTCTATGGTAGTCAAACAGACAAATAATTAGTCCTATTTCTTGTTTGATATCCCTGATACTAAAATCTTTTTGCGCGCTACCCGAAGAAAATGAAAGAAAAGGTATTCATAAAAAGATGTTTCTGTATTATTCAGTATATCTCTATTATATGAATATCAATACTGTGAAAATCACATCAATTTTCTGATAAATTAATAAATGGAGCTTTGAACTTGAAGCTTTGCAGGTCGTTCCTGCCTATTACAGACCTCAACATTTGTGGACCACAGACTCTAAACTCCTTTTTTTGAGTTTATTATCAATGGAAATAGAAGGTCAACGATATCAACGACAACACTCCAAGTGTTCTAGAACAGTTCAAAGCTTTTATTGAACTTCAAGTTATTCTACTAAACTTTTCAGCAGCACCAGTAGTTTAGATCTAAATATTGGTGCTTATAACAACTTATATTGAAGATGTAAACAATGGCGAGTAATGATCATTTGATGCGTCAAAAGACCAACTTAAAGTGTTTCCAATGATCAATCAATACCTCTGGAAAATAAGCAGTATCGGAGTTCGTGAGCTTATCAAAATGAACATAATAGAGCACCGAGCAATGCTGGTGTAGATATAATGAATCTTCACAACAGTTTTAAAGTACTTCAAAAACAGATACGTAAAAAAAGAGATGAACAAATAGCTATCAATCGCACAAACAAAAACAAAAGAACACTAGTACATAAAAAGAGAACGAAAAATCGATATAGAATACAGAAACAGATAAGATAAATTGACTGTCCGGAGATCAATTACCTTGGAGAACAGTTATAGTCTGCTAAAGCTATTTCATCTAGTCTATATTCTATTAGTATAATCAGACTAAAGAATATTCGAGTTCCACGTTAATACTCTCAATCTCAATATAATATATAATAGTAAGTATTGACTAATCAAATTTAGTTTTTTTTCTAATTGAGTACTTTTAAGGAACACGTCTCATGGTGAGAATCAGTTTATAAAATTATATCGCTTTCTGTTAATTTTGATGGATCCGAGGAAGACATCTGATGATATAAGTAAGGCTATAAAATTAATTCTGTTTTTCGTTTAGATTCACAAGAAAAATAGATGTGATCGCAAGAATATATTTAAAAATGATTTTACTTTTTAACGCTCGCTTAGCAAACAGCGGATCACTGTTAAAAAAAACAGAAGTTTAGTACCATAAATTCGTAAAAATTTTATAGAACTGAAACATTTAATGCACTCTTTTAAGCTGTATATGAAATATTCATAAAACCGTAAAGGGTTTATGAGGCTAATCTTAGCATGCAATGTATTTTAATTTGTAAACGCTCTCCGGGTTATGGGTGTCAGCTTCTGATTCCGTTTTCGAAAACTCATACCGACTTGATGCAGATTAAAGGAATAGGCACGCTTCAAATCTCAATATTATCAGAAACACGTGAAAACGAATCTTCGAGTGGACTTCGTTTCTCGGGATCGAAACCCCAGAGAATAGGAAACCCCGACACTCCTACTACTGACTCGTAAATTTTGATCTACCGGTAGACCGATTAACCTGAAATCTGCATCGGTATCGGTTGTATCTCTGACCTAAAGTACGATACTTCTAAAACAACTATATTATGATATGTGCCGGTGAAAATAATATCCAAACATGCTGCAGGTCTCCCCATTAGTTAAGCGTTCGTGGCAGAGATGACACATCAACAAATCATAGAATGCTGACTAAAAGAGATTCAAAACAAATGGTGCTACTATTAGCTCCAGAAACAATTTTGAAACCATAGCAGTTATATCATATCGCCAGTCTGAGCTCTATCACATGAGACGTTGAAAATGTAAAATTTAACAATGATCAACTTCTGTTGACGGATATAGCAACAGACGGAAGTGAGTGTGGTTGTGGCTGTGGCTGTGGGCGTGGGTATGGGTGTGGGTATGGGTATGGGTGTGGCTGTGGGCGTGGGTATGGGTGTGGGTATGGGTATGGGTGTGGCTGTGGGTGTGGCTGTGGGTGTGGCTGTGGGTGTGGCTGTGGGTGTGGCTGTGGCTGTGGCTGTGGGTGTGGGTGTGGGTGTGGGTGTGGGTGTAGGATGGATGTGGATGTGGGTGTGAGTGTGAGGGCAGATTGACACATGAACTACACCCACACCCATCCTACACCCACACCAACACCCACATCCCACACCCACCCACAACTACACCCACCCACCCACACCCACGCTCCCACACCCACCCCCATTCACACCCACCCACACCCACACCCTTGTACATGTATTATATTCAATGGAAAATTTGTTTTTGGGACTCATTTTTTTGTGCACAAGTATGCGAAGTTTGAATTAATGTTTTGACTTTACTAATTAAGAGATCATTTTTTCCTTTGTTTGGAATACAGATTTGAGCTTTCTTTTATTATAATGAATTTGAGAGATAGATTGATAATATAGATTTGAATGATCATTAAGTAATCTTTTATTTTCTGTAGGTTATAGTTTTTCAGTATTTTTAAACGTAGGGCATATGAAAAGATAATATTGACTCGACTAATCATGAGGTAATTTTCTATTATTTATAAGCTCACATCACAATGCATTTCAGCATTGAAGCGAAAGAACTGTTTAAATAAGGACGTCCTCTACGGCACTCACCAGGATGCTCCGACATATGTATAAGGTAAAGATTCTATTTATGATACTTTTTTGCATGCGGAGACATTGGGACACTATATTGATTATTTCGGTTTCATTCATCAAGAAAAACTTTTTGAATTATATAAATGCTCATCTTTTTGTACTTAGGAACATGGGAACATTGAATTATTATTTAGATCTTACCAGTCAACAAATTGTTGGATGTTGCGAGATTTAAGTTTTTCTTCGAGCTAGAATTGATAGAAAATTTTTTTATATAAACATATATCTATGTATATCTATTCATTTTTTCATTTTTTTAAATAGTATTTAAGTTTCAAAAAATGTCTTCAAATGTATTATATTTGTCTCTAGCAGATATTGATAAAAAGACTATTGTATTTAGTCTAGTTTTTTGCATAAACAATTTAATACATAAAATTAACTCTTGAGTACAAAAATATTTTTGCTTTCTTTACATTCTCTCATTTAAATGGGTGGTTGGGAACTGAGCTGTGATTTTTTCCAATTACATACTGTCTGCATTTACAATTTATGCAAGATCGGAGTTTTTTAAATAGATATTATGCTCCATAAAATAGGAAGATCTTATATATTACAGTAATAGAAACCAGAAACATGATATTCTTAAAATGGAGTCTATTGCTAAGAAAAATAAACAGAGAAAATAATAAAATGCTCATTTATTATGAAATTTATTATGAAAACCATTAGGAGAAGGCAATTCATATAGCTGCCGAACATGCGATATTTGAAGAGATTGGAAATGACTATACAGATGTCCTAAATGATATTAAGCATATGGTGTTCGTCATATATTATTAAGGCTCGAGACCACAAACTAAAATTGTT